ATTGAATTTAGTAATGTGTCGTGAAAATAAAATAATTGTATTTAGTAATGTGTCGTGAAAATAAAATAATTGAATTTAGTAATGTGTCACGAAAAATAAAATAATTGAATTTTAGTAATGTGTCATGAAAATAAAATAATTGAATTTAGTAATGTGTCGCGAAAAATAAAATAATTGAATTTTAGTAATGTGTCATGAAAAATAAAGTAATTGTAATTGAATTTAGTAATGTGTCGCAAAAAATAATGTAATAGTAATTGAATTTAGTAATGTGTCGCAAAAAATAAAGTAATTGAATTTAATAATGTGTTGTGAAAAATAAAGTAATTGAATTTATAATGTCTCACAGAAAATAAAGCAATTGAATTTAGTAATGTCTCATTAATGGTAAAATAGTACGCCTCATTTTCATGCTTATAGTGAGCTTACAAAATCTTCTCCCTCTCTAAATTCAGATATAATAATTACTAATATCAATAAAAAAAATTTTTTTAGTGGTAATAGTATACTAGCCACATACAGTCCCGGCGAAAAGAATGGCAGATGCATTTTTTAAAGGTACATAAAATTTTCATTATTAATTTAATATTATTTTTTTATTATTTAAAGTATGATACTAACACAACATTTTTTATTATATGATTAATATTTTGTATGGCCTCCTTGTGCATCGATGCATGCTTGAATTCGGTTTGGCATGCTTTCAATGCACCGAAGTAACACATTATTGTCAAGATCGTCCCATTCCTGCCGGATTATGGTAAGAAAAATCTCTTGTGAGATTTTTTTATTTTTTGCCACTAAATTCTTGACCTTTCTCTCTACTTTTCTCTTTAAAATGGCCCATACATTCTCAATAGGATTCAGGTCCGGGCTGTATGAAGGCCAAGAAAGAACCCGTCTTGGAAGACGTTCTTCCAAGTCACGCCGAACATCTCGTGAGGTGTGTTTTGGGTCATTGTCTTGCTGAAAGACCCAGTTACGGCCATGTAACATGTTTGCATTGTCATATAAATGATTGTCAAGAATTCTCCGGTACAAATGACAATCCAAATTTTCTGTGAACAGATGAATTCTGATTTTTCCTTTGACACTAATCGCTGCCCAAACGTGAACTTTGAACGGATGTTTTACCATAGGAGCGACAGGTTGTGCATTATGAGACCATGCATTAATTGTGTTGCTAAACATCTGGAGTGTTGTTTCATCAGAAAAAACAACTTTCCTCCAGTTGTAGTGCCAATGTTCATGTGCCCAAGACAAGTGAACATCCTTTGCTCTCTGGGTCAAGAGAGGCACTTTTCGTGGAAGAATTGAAATGTAACTGAGATTTTTTAGCTCATGACAAACTGTATGTTCACTGACCTTGAGCTCAGGGTCATTTTCTTCCAGTTTAGCCTTAAGTTCGCCTGCCGTTGTGAAGTGGTTGTGTTTCAAAATTTTTCCAATATGGTGGCATTTCTTGGGGGACAACTTTCTTGGGCGACCAGGTGAGTGATTTATAGAGTTATTGCCAGTTTTATGTAATTTACTGACATATTGTTCACAGGAGTGTAAAGGGATATTCAATCATTTGGAAATTTCTTTTGCATTACGCATGTTTTGTTGCCAAAGTGACTTAACGGCATTTCGCTGGATTTCAAGTGGACTTGGCATTTTTTAGTGGGCAAAAACAAAATGTAAACAATAACAAACCTAATTGTTTACAACTTACTTATTAAATAAACAATCCATTGTCCAATTTGGTAATATAAACAATGGCCCAATTCGGAAAAATGGTGATGTTGTGGCCAAAAATAGATGCGGTATCTCCACCGCCATTCTTTTCGCCGGGGACTGTAATATTATTATTATAAATATTATAATTACAAGATATCAAGGCAGCATGACTGACTGTTGCAGAAGGAACAATTCAATATGAAACAATTCAAGTATGAAACAATTTGATGTGATGATTGATTATTGGGTGTTGAAGCATGCATGCTACCTTGAACACTTTACAGTCATTCTCACATGTTCTTCATATACACAAGGCTAAACCAACCTGTGACGCCCAATGATATGATGATGCAACTGAATTCAAGGGGGGGGGGGGGGGGCATGGCCCTGGAGTTTACCGAGACTGCATCAATTGTCTATGACACTTTTACTAATATTCCCTCACAGCACCCAGGCCAGAGATGGCCACTGGCATGCTGACCAAAAAGTTGCCTACTCTAGGGCAAGGATGGATCTGTGACCAAGCTGTTGCAACTCTGGAGGAATATCAAGAGAATCTGCAACTTGTTCCAAGCACAGGAGGTTACAATTCAGAGCAGGGTTGGTGACCCTGAAATTGCATTTGGACTCTAATGTTAAGAGGAAAGTTGTAAAATAGTGTTTGTTTTGTATAATCACTTTCCTAAATTCTCTGTTTCTCTGATACTAACCAATTTATAATTTTGGGTTGTAGGTTAAAATTATCACATGATTAAATACATCTTTGTCAGCAATATGGTCAACAAGAAAAAAGCCATAAAACAGTTGATTTTGGTATGTTATAAATT